GACTCCTACAGGTGCAGGGCAGTGGAGAATCAGACTCCCTGTTTTCAGTTCTATAAAAATATTATTTGGGGATTAAAAATTCCTCATGCTGTGTGACAGCCCAAAAGTAAGTTTGGGGAAGTATCATAATACATTCATCCTCTTGAGGTGCTTACCTGGAGGGGGCGGCGGCGGGGGGGGGGGGAAGGGGCGAAATATCTGTTTAAAAAAATTCTGTCCTGCTTTATTATATATAAAGAAGACATGAGTGTTTAAAGTATTTTTTGTTCAACTCAAGCTTCTGATATGTGGTTGTGAGAAAATATATCTTCAAAATATTAATGCTCTGGATGATGGGATGGATTGCACCCTCAGCAAGTTCGCAGATGACACTAAGCTCGGGGGAGAGGTAGATATGCTGGAGGGTAGGGATAGGGTGTAGAGTGACCTAGACAAATTGGAGGATTGGGCCAAAAGAAATCTCATGAAGTTCAACAAAGACAAGTGCAGAGTCCTGTACTTAGGACAGAAGAATCTCATGCATCACTACAGGCTAAGCAACAGTTCTGCAGAAAAAGACCTTGGGATTACAGTGGATAAGAAGCTGGATATGAGTCAGCAGTGTGCCCTTGTTGCCAAGAAAGCCAACGGCATATTGGGCTGTATTAGTAGAAGCATTGCTAGCAGATCAAGGGAAGTGATTATTTCTCTCTATTCGGCACTGGTGAGGCCACACCTGGAGTATTGCATCCAGTTTTGGTCCCCCCCACTACAGAAAGGATGTGGAAAAATTGGAGAGAGTCCAGCGGAGGGCAACAAAAATGATTAGAGGGCTGGGGCACATGACTTACGAGGAGAGGCTGAGGGAACTGGGGTTATTCAGTCAGAAGAAAGAGTGAGGGGTGATTTGATAGCAGCCTTCAACTACCTGAGGGTGGGTTCCAAAGAGGATGGAGCTCGGCTGTTCTCAGTGGTGGCAGATGACAGAACAAGGAGCAATGGTTTCAAGTTGCAGTGGGGAAGGTCTAGGTTGGATATTAGGAAACACTATTTCACTAGGAGTGTGGTGAACCACTGGAATGGGTTACCTAGGGTGATGGTGGAATCTCCATCCTTAGATGTTTTTAAGATCCGGCTTGACAAAGCCCTGGCTGGGATGATTTTGTTGGTGTTGGTGCTGCTTTGAGCAGGGGATTGGACTAGATGATCTCCTGAGGTCTCTTCCAACCCTAATATTCTGATTCTAAAACATCTGCCCCTTTAATTATAGGGTTGAGAAAGCTTCCACACCACTTATCTGGGCTCACAGTGAGACCCCTGCCAAAACTGGGGATGACTAAATGCAGCTATACTGAAATTTCTTGGTTTTTTTTAAAGAAGAAAAACATCACTTCATTACCATGTTTTGCTTTGTTCTTTGGTAGTTTGCTTCCAACCCTTTCAGATTGTTTGTTTTTTATAATACCCAGCTCCAATATAGGACTTTTCATTTGCAGATCTCAGTGCTCATACATCAGAAAGAAAGATTCTATGGGTATGTCTACATAGAAATGTAAGCCTAGAGTTAGTGGGTCTTGAGTCAGCTGACCCATGTTAGGGAACCCTGGGTTTGAGCATCTACAGTGTATTTTAACCCTAGGTTAAGGATTTTTTGACCTGTGCTTGAACCTAGGGTTCTAGCCTCCACACTGCAGTGCACAGACCTGAGTCAACACTCTAGCCCTAAGAATACAGTGTATTGTGGGAAAAAATCTAATGCCTACCCTGTTTCCTATCTGTGAGGGTGCTATTGATGGGATTCAGCTGCCCATAAAGGAGCACACGAATACATCAACTGCATAATTAGCACCTTTGGTGGCTGTCTCGGTAGAATGACTGCAGTTTGTGAAGGCTTTATACTGAACTACCATCTAACCTGAGAGCTGGGCTCTGCACCTCTAGGCTGAGTCACAGTGGTAGGAAAACACCCATGTGCTCCTGTTCTGAGGATAATTAGGATGTCAGTCTCCAGGGCTGCCCAACTAGTAAAACGGAACTTTGCAATACTAAATTTTTAAAAATGGAGTTTTGAATTAAGCTGTTTCTGGTTTTTTTTATTATTATTATTTTTGTCTGTTTTGAAGTTGGGCAAAGGAAAGACACATTACCACCTCATGCTGTTTGCTGCCGGCTATGGAGCGGTGCAGTGTTTCCACAGGGTTGGGGTGCAGGGTTCTCCAGAACCCCCCAGGGATTCCTTATCCCTGCCCCACCGCACCCCGGGAGACTGGGATAAAGAATCCCTGAGAGTCTATGGGATGTTTTGGAGATTGCTCATTGCCCTCACAGTGCATGCCCATTTCCACTCATTGCCCTCACAGTGCATGCTGCCCACACATCTCTAGAGATGTAACCCCAGGGAGGGCAGTAGGGGCCAGGAGCAAGGGACAGAGAATAGAATGGGAGCAAGCAGCTGCCTTGCAGGGATGGGGAGCAGCAAAGTTCCCAGCTCATGACAGCCAGGGGAGAGATGACTCCGAATATCCTGTCACCTGGGAGCTGTCTCCCACCTGTTAGCCTTGCTCCTGGCAAGCTCTGCACAGAAGCAAGGATGCACTGCGGGGAAAGCTAACACCATAGGAGTGTGATGGGGTGGCCTAGGCCCAGAGGCCTGTGATGGGCTATAAGACTGCATTTTTGGTAAGATCTAAGTTATCATTTGACCTGGGTCTGCGGCTGATCCTTTGGAATTGGAAAAACCTTTTCTTTTATATGATGAGATAAGATTTTCAGTAATCATCATCATATCTGACAGGTGTGTCTGGATGGAGGCCTGAGGCTGGGCACTTTGAGGGAACTGCGTTGTTTGGATTTCTGAGTAACCAGTGAGGTACTACAGAAGTTGTTGTGTGCTGGCTTGGTAAATCTAAGTATTGGAATATCCACCAGCATTTGGGGTTTGCCTGCCCCGTTTTGTTTGCAGTTCACCCTAACTGAGTGACCTCAGCTAGCTCCCACAGGCAGCATCGTCACACCAGGGCTGAGGCTGTTTAAAGACTGAAGATGCACCCGACCAGAAGGGGCACTTGTGAGAGGTGGGTGCCATGCCATTACGAGGAGGCTGCGGGGAAGGTTTTTGGCTTATTCCCACTTGCCACCCTGCCAGTGCCACAGCTGGGGTACCCCTGCACATGCAGCCCCAGAGGGCCCAAGAGCAAGGGCCAGAGAGCACAGCAGGAACAAGCAGGTACCATGCAGCGAGGAGGAGCTGGAGCTGCCACCACTGAAGGAGGCTGTAGGGAAATGTTGGGGGCTGACTCCCACAACAGTGCATGCAGCCTAGCCACCCCTACACATGCAGCCCCCGAGGGGCTGGGGCAAGGGCCAGAAAGCAGAGTAGGGATCACACAGCTGCCCTGCAGAGATGGGGAGCAGCAGGGCTCCTGGCTCAGCATGGCCAGGAGAGGGATGACTCCCAACATCCAAGTGGTTGGGAGCTGCCTCCCGCCTGGCAGCTTTGTTCCTTCGTTTGGGGAAGCTCTGTGCAGCAGCGAGGAGGAGCCAGAGCAGGAGCTGCTGCCATTGGGAGAGGAGCAGGATCAGGGATCATGCTCAACCAGGCAAAAATAGTGCTTCCACCTGCTGGGCTGGCTGCCTGCAGCACTGCTCCTCTGCAACCAGGATCTCTGGGATACACCCAGAGGACTTCGAGGACCCAAGTCAAGCCAGGGCTACGTGCACACACAAAAGCAATAGGGCTTGGATCCTAGGTCCCAGCTTAACATGGGCTCAGATCCTCCAGCCCTGCAAGGTCCTGGGACCCTAGATCTTAGCCCTAGGTTAGCACAATTGTTGCATGGCACAAGAGGGATTAGACTTGTGCCCAGGCTTACACTGTTGTGTAGACATACTGTAAGTGGCTACTCTAGTAGTTTAAAAGAAAAAGAGTATTGCATCTGATGGCCTTTTTGAACAGGTCACTGAACTAGTGTCTCCAAAGAAAGTCTCTCTGCCTGCCTCAGCTGTGGGTTTTCTAGGGAGCTTATTAATGCAGAGAACCCTGTATGAATGATTTGTCCCAATGTCCTGAACTGCGTGACACTGATTTTTGATACACTAATATTCATGTGAAATTTCTCTTTCAGCTTTGGGTCCTCGGCAAACATCTGAAAGATCAGTAAATGGTATGTGACGTTCCAATAAAGAATTGCATTGCATAATTATCAGTGATTACCAGCATTAGGCTAGATGAGCCAGTCATTCGGTTTACTAGTAGAAATAATAAGTAACATCTCAGAGTGCAGGCTCATCAGATCACACAGGTTACGCGGGGTTGGATGGGGGTTGAGGAAATGAATGGGGAGATCTCCAGGAAAGAATCAGGTGCTGCAGAACATGGTGCTGGTGAGTAGGTGAAGCTCTTGTCTCAGAGGCAGCAGGGCCGGCTCCAGACACCAGCTGACCAAGCATGTGCTTGGGGCGGCACCTTGGAAGGGGCGTCCAATCTTGTGGTGGTGGTGGGGCGCTCGGGGTTTGTTGTTTTTTGGTTCGGTGGGGTGGCGCTCGAGGTTTTATGTTTATTTGGTTTTGTTTCAGCGGCGCGGCACTGGGGGGTGGCGGGGACTGGCGCGGTGCTCGGGGGGGCGGGGGTTTTGGCGGCCCGGCGCGGTGCTCAGGGGCAGGGGGTTCGACGGCCTGGCGTGGCGCTCACGGGCGGGTTTCGGCAGCCCAGCCCGGCGCTGGGGGGGGCAGGGGTTTTGGTGGCGCGGCGCTCAGAGGGGGCGAGGGTTTCAGTAGCACGGTGCTTGGGGGGGGGGATGTTATGGCGAGGCAGCGCTCTTTTTTTTTGCCTGGGGCAGCAAAAAAGTTAGAGCCGGCCCTGAGAGGCAGTACTGACCCAGTGCAGCAGCATGATGCTGGAAAACACTCTCCTTCTAGGGACGCCATCTTTTAAAGGAGGCAAAATAACTAGAGGTCAACATCCGTAGTCCCTGCAGGTGCTATGGCACTTTTTGAAACCTCGGCGCCCTGCAGAAATTTTAGGTTATATTTAGTTATATTCTTTGCACCTAAATTCCCATTATTGTTTCCATTATACATAGAATTCTCCATCACTTCATGCCCTACTTTGTTAGAGTTTCATTGTGCACTGTTAATATCTGACAGGTTTCACCCTAGAGGTGGCTGCATTTCAGTAACTGGTGAAGTGATTCTTATGTATATGCACAGAAGGTCTGAGCCTACACTTCTCTTACATCACTGATTTCAATGGGACCACTGATATGAGTAAGGACTAGGACCATAGTTAATTTACGTGGGGACACTTTGCGATGCAAGGGGCACTATAAACTTACAGTACCAGTATTTAAATAGCTTTATTGTATCATTACAATAATATTTAATGCTTCTTGTCATTAACTCAGCTTACAGCATGAAGTATAGAGAACATATAAAAAATGAATACAGCGCAATAAAAGACATGAACGCTCGTCTTGGTGAGAATGTGAAACTAAACAGCAGATACACAAAGCTGATCATTACAAATGAACATCGTCATGAAAAGCAGAGAGAACATGAAATAATGGCCCTGGGACGGAGACATGCAGAGATCATGACTGAGCACGCTACTCCTATCACCATAGGCGATTTATTTGAATCTGATGGAAAGGAACAATCACCACAAATTGTCGTGCTGCAGGGAGCTGCAGGGATTGGAAAAACACTGACAGCAAAAAAGATCATGTTGGACTGGGCAAATGAAGAACTGTATCAGAGCAGGTTTGATTATGTTTTCTACATAAATTGTCGGGAAATTAACTTTGACAGAGAGCAGAGAAGTGTGGAAGATTTGATTTTAGGAAATTGTCCTGATCATAATGCACCAACTAAAGAGATTCTGATGACTCCAGAAAAACTCCTGTTCATAATTGATGGTTTTGATGAACTGAGATTTTCCTTTAATCAACCAACAAGTAATCTGTGCTCTGATCCCTGTGAGAAGCAGCCAGTGGAAATCATACTGAGCAGTTTATTTAGGAAAAAAGTGCTTCTCAAATCTTACTTACTAATTACTACAAGACCAATTGCCCTGGAGAAACTTGGGCGGTGTTTGAAAGATGAACGTTATGCAGAGATCCTGGGGTTTTCTGAAAATGAGAGAAAAGAATATTTTTACAAGTTCTTTGAGAAGGAAGAACAAGCAAGCAAAGCCTTTAACTTTGTAAGAGACAACGAAATGCTGTTCACCATGTGCTTTGTCCCCATTGCCTGTTGGATTATCTGCACGGTTCTGAAACAGCAGCTGGAAGCAGGTGAAGATCTTGCACAAACTTCCACTACAATCACTGGAGTCTACATGCTCTATCTCTTCAGTTTATTAGAGGGTCACAGCAGCAATTCAAAGCAAAAGGTACAAGGTAACTTGAATGAACTTTGCTCCTTGGCTGCAGATGGAATCTGGAGGAAGAATATACTGTTCGAGGAAGAAGATGTCAAGAAACATGGTTTAGATAAACCTGATTCCCTCTTTCTGAATGAGAACATGTTTCAAAAAGGCATTGGCTGCGAACGTGTTTACAGCTTCATTCACTTGAGTTTTCAAGAGTTTTTTGCAGCTTTGTTTTATGTGTTGGAGAAAGAAGAACCTGTGAAAAAGTCAGCAACTGCTATACAACCTGTGGAAAAATTGTTTGAAAAATGTGGAAACTCTAGGAATTATTTAATGTTAACAGTGCGATTCCTGTTTGGTCTCTTAAATAAAAAGAGAATGGAGGAGATGGAGAAAAATCTTAGCTGCAAATTTTCACCCAAAGTTAAAAATAATTTACTAACATGGGTTAAAGAGAAACCCTTTTTGTTGTTGTTCAACTATGATAAATTGCCTTCTGATAAGGAGTCAATGTTTTTCTATCTGGATTATTTTTACTGTTTGTATGAAATTGAAGAAACTGAATTTGTGCAGAGTGCAATGAATCATTTCACTGAGCTAAAATTAACTCATCATACCTTTACCAAAATGGATCAAATTGTTCTTCAATTCTGTATAAAGAATTGCTGTAAACTGGCGTCAGTTTGTCTAGAGAACTGTACTTTTCTAACTGAAGACCTGAATGAAGATTCCCCAGGACCACACGAGTGGCCACATCGGTGAGTGTTATCTGAGCTCTAAAAATACCTATGTAACTTCTTATATTTTTAAAACTTAAACACTGATTTTTTTCCCCTGTAAGTTTTCATAGCTCAAATGGCCAAATGACCCACCGTAAAAGTGGCTCAATTTAGTGACAGACATTTAAGACTGGGAAGGACCATGCCCCATCCACCCCAAGCCTTAAAAGCATGGAAATAAGACTTTGAGAGAGACTTGTAGGTTTTAGAACAAATGTTGAAGGAAAGAACACTTACACTCATGGAGGTGAACAGGAAAGGGGATGTTATACAACATTGGTTTATCAAAGGTAGACCGTGCCAGAGTACATTGATATTATTTTTGAGATAAAAATTTTTTATATACGGGAAATGCAGTAGAGCTAATATATTTGGACTCTAGTTTAGCATTTGACATAATACTACATGAGAAATGAGTAATTACATTAGAAAAGATGGGGATTAGTATAAGAATTGTAAGGTGCGTAAGGAACTGGCTAAAGAGGAGATGACAATGGGTTATGCTGAAAGGTGAACTAGTGGCTGGAGGGAGGGTACTATTAGAGGTTCTCAAGGCTCAGGCTTCGGGCTGGTCCTATTTAATATTTT